AAAAGGGGGCGTCGCACATCCCATAGGCGTGGAACTTTTAGCTATAACTGCGGAACCTTAGATCCCACCAACTTGAAATTTGGTATGCTTATAGAAGGGTACGTACAAACGTAATTGTAGGTGCGGAATTTTTTATCAGCTATAACTTCGGAACCATAAGTCCCACTAACTTGAAATTTGGTATGCAGACATACCAATGGTAGGTGCTTATAGAAGGATACGTAAAAGCGAGTTTGAAAAGTGGGCGTGGCCCATCCCAATGGCGTGGAATTTTTTATCAGCCATAACTTCGGAACCATAAGTCCCACGAACTTGAAATTTGTAATGCAGACATATCAATGGTAGGTGCTTATACGAGGGTATATATAAACGAGTTTGTAAAAAGGGGCGTTGCACATATCATAGGCGTGGAAATTTTTATCAGCCATAACTTCGGAACCATAAGTCCCATGAACTTGAAATTTGGTATGAAGACATATCAATAGTAGGTGCTTATATGAGGGTATAAATAAATGAGTTTGTAAAAGGGGGCATGGCACGTCCTATAGGCGTGGAATCCTTTATCAGCTATAACTTCGGAACCATAAGTCACATGAACTTTAAATTTGGTATTCAGACATATGTATCTATGGGAGGTGCTCAGAGTAAAGTATTTATAAATGGGTTTGTCAAAGGGGGATATACATATATAGTTATCTACTAGATAACTGGGATATTTAAAACTGTGTTTTTTTTTTAAACCTTACCGTCTTTAGATTATTTTGAAATGGAAATATTAAATCGTTTTTCAATCCCGCGATGCTGTTAAATGAAAAAGAATCATACATAATGAATAAAACTCCTTCCGAATTAAGCATTCTTCCAGAAATGTCCAGCTATACTAAAACAGCCAAGTGAATAGGCAGCTAAACGGAATGTACCGTAGTACACTAATTTTAATTTAGAAATTTGATCGTTACCTTAATCCATCTAATATTAATAATGGAACAAAATTTGTAGTACAAATTATGATAAATATGCATTAGTTAAAGCACAATAAAGCTAAAAGGATGGGTCATAAGAATGAAAAATCTCATATTTGAAAAATCAGTTGTATGGGAGCTATATATTATAGGTTCCGACAAATGATTAATACATTATAAAAATGCACCCACCTACCAAATTTGATCCGGATATCTCGAGAGCTGAGAGACTAGATTGCATACAAACAGACGGACAGACAGACAGACAGACACACGGACAGACGGACAGGCGGACATAGCTAAATCGACTCAGCTCGCCGTTCTGATAATTTAAGTATACATTTTAATGGGTCTATCTCTTCTTATTCTGGTACTACAAACATCGGACCACAGTTATAATACCATTTCATGCTCATGAAAGGTATAAAAAGGGACCGCAGTCGAAAATTTGGAATAACAAATGGGGCGATTTTTGTTCAAAATGTTCACAATATACATATTAAAATATTGTTTTACATTAAAAAGGGCGAAATTTAATATCCACGTTTTCCGATTTTTAAGCTTAGTTTCCAGCTGAAGAAAAATTACAAGAAATATTTTGCATCATTTCTTTCTACTTTGCCATTGCTTTACAGTTCTTGAAGAAATATTTACATACATATTTATTTCTAGAGAGCTGTAAACGGATCAAAAAATTTTAATACACAATTTTTTTTAATTTCTTGAGCGTGTATTGTATATGCTTTATTTGTTTTTTCTGAGAGCTGGTATTATCCCAAATAGGGGTTATGACTAATGTGACCAATCGTACTTCTTTCGGAAGTACAATAGTACTTTTTTTCCCTCTTGTACTTCGCACTTCGAAGTACAGTCAAATGTACTTCTTTGCGATATTTTGTACTTCAGGAGGGAACTTCTGTAATTAGTTAGCGACAATTTTCGGATCGCTATCGCACTTTTTGACGCAAAAACATTTATGTCATGCGTCTAAAATTGTCGCTAACTGGTTACAGAATCTCCCCCCAAGTTCTGTACTTCTCCGACCTTCTGGACTAGCGTCAAATGGCCTGGGCGATAAATTCGTTCAAACCATTAAAGCCGCCGGGGACCAATCGCATCATACCTGCGCAGCTGCAAAGGGCTATGATGGTGTCGTGCGATTGGGTGGATTATATTTATGCAAACTGCGTGAGGACCGGGTACATCCCCAAGGCTTGGAGGTTAGTCAGTGTTGCGTTCCTCTCGAAGGCCGGAAAAGGCTCTCCCCTACGGATTTTAAGCCTATCGTCTCTTCGTTTTTGCTAAAAATGCTTTTGCTAAAATGCTAGAGAGACTGACAGACCTGTACATAAGAAACGCGATTCCTCGTGACTGTCTTTCAAGAGCTCAATATGCTTATTGCAAGAAAAGGTCGGTGAATACCGCCCTTCCGACATTGGGAAAGTGGTCAGAGGAAGCCTTCTCGCATGAAGATTATGCAGTAGGGCCTTCAGCAGTAGGGTTCAAAACCAACTTAATAATGCTTATCCACAGCTTACTTCGTGCCAGAACTGTCGCGGCGGATGAGGGAGCGCCTGCACTCAGCGCAGAGTCAATAGGAGCACTCTATAAGGTGGTGTTCTCTCCCCCCAGCTCTGGATTGCGGTTGTGAACGACCTTCTAGAGGAACTGGAAAAGTGGGCTGTCGGGTGATCGCTTATGTAGATGATGTGGAACTTTTGGTCAAGGGACGATTTCTATACACCCTTTTTGATCTGGCTCAAGGTTACCTGAACCAGGTAACCAGGTGGGCGAACTACGGCGGCTGTCGTAGAAGCCTAACATTGAGGAAAGGGCAGGAAATGTGTCGGTTGCCTTGTACTGCTGTTTAGGAGCTATCGGTAAAAGCTGGGGTCTCTCGCCAAAATTAATTAACTAGCTCTAGAAAACAAGATTTAAGCCTATATTGATTCAAGGAGCCCTAGTCTGGTGGAACTCACTAGAGAAGGTTACACTTGTAACAGGAATAAGCGAAACATTAGGAACCACACCTACACTGGCGCTTAACATACCTATGTTATGCGGATATTGCAGACAGAATTGTCGCAGCACATAAAAAAGGAAAAGATTACGTTTCTCTGTACTGCTTTCAGCTATGAAATAATTGGTCACATTAGTTAAGGCACCTTATAAGAAGTGACATAACCTCAAGCCAAAAATTGGCTTTCTGTCACTGTATAACGAGTGACACAATTCCAAATTTTAAAATTGGAGTTGTGCCACTTGAAGTTTATGTCATGATACCGTGTGAAAATGATTAGCTTGGTGAATATTAAACATACAATAGATGAACTGCATAGGCGAAATGTGAACGAGTTCACACGAAATGAATATAACAATATTGTGAAATTGTGAAATGTGCAGCAGTCTACCGGGTATCCGATCGGATATCCGAATCCGGCTCTTAATTTTTACATTGTATTCGGAATCCGGTTATCCGGCAAAATCTCTATCCGCCACATCTTCACATATAGCCGTCAAGGTCAACTGATTTGCGCAAATTGTCATGCATGGAGAGCACAATCTACAAAAATAATTTGAGGGGAAAATAATGAAGTTTACAAAATGTGATACAAAAGTAAACAAAAGGTTGGATTAACTTTAGAACAATTGTATATGTGCGTTCTGGACGTTACGTTACGGACTTTATTCTTTTTTCCTTTTATTTATTGCGATATTATTGTATTTTATTAAAAGACTAGTAAGCCCGGGCAGACGTTGTCATGCTACACACCTATACATAGGCAGGTTACATGCATCGTAGATATTATGGGTCTTCACATCGAAGCTTGGTACTCGGTAGCTCGGTGTTCGGTAATTTTTTCCCATGCATTTTGTTTGTGTAACACTATTTACACAAACAAAATAAATTAGAAAAAATTACCGGACACCGAGTTACCGAGCTCGGTGTGAAGAGCCATATTGTTTCTTACGTTTCATTTGATATCGAAATTTACAAAATACTTATTGTTATTATTGTCCACTACGTTTGAAAAAAAAAACGATCTCTGGTTACGGTTCAAACATCAGCCAGGGGAATGGATAACATTGTATGTTGTCCAAACGGTACATTCTTTGTTGCTGCTGATGTGCGCATGTTTATGTTTATAAATACATACTACATTATTTTGTTGCTATCCTACCTATTTCTCCCCAACATAAACATACATATGAAGCGTAGCCGCGAATAACATTGGAAAACTCTTGCTTCTGATATGAGCAGTTTGTAGTTAGCTTAAACGAACATAGCCACACGGGAGTTTTAAGAACGTTGCGAGAAGCATAGAAAAAATTTCGATGCAAAAAAATGTTTTTTCTCGGGTTAAAAACTATCCTATCTTTAAAGTTGGAGCCAACAATACAAACCCACAAAAATTTCATTGAAATCGGTTAAGCGGTTTCGGAGATTAGCGTAAACGAACACAGTAACACGGGATTTTTATATATTAGGAAGATATATTAAAACGAATGCCATTTAGAGCTTGGTTTCAAGAAGTATGAATATTCTATGAGAATTTATTCACAAAGATATTAGTTTTTCAGTTGACGAATTCCTAAAATAATTTAAAGAAAAACCAAAGAAAATGTGAAAACTCTTTGTTTCTTTGATTTATAAGTAAAAAGAAAAATTGAATGAGTTTAAAATTATTAAAATGTTTTACAAATAAAGCGAAAAATTTCGCGTTTGTACTTTTCTTCGATTCGAGGCAGTGGCGGACCCGTGGATAGCGTTAGTGAATATTTTTGAAAATTTTGCCGCAAATGGTGCGAATTTATAGTGCATGCGATTTCCATCCCGACCTATTACTAAAGAATGTAACATAGTGCGAACATTTTATATAACATTGCTACCTAGAACTTTAAGTTGATACAAGCCAAACCATTTTCGATCAGTTTAATATTATTTGTCCTTTCGCGTATTAAAAACATGATCATAACGTACGAAACACTAATAGTAATAAAACATAGAAAAATAAGTTCTAATAGATATATGCTTACCTAAGGGATCCACTCGCAAAATTATTTCTGCTTCCACCGCAAAAATTACACAGAGCGATAAAAAAATCACACTTGTCGCTTTTGAATAATTCATTATACTCGCAGAAAAGTACGAGCACAAAAATCACTTGAAAACATTGATAACCAGTTTTCATTGATACTGATACAATACAGAATACAATGAACATCATATCAATACGCCATTATAATTACACATAGTCTAGATATCACTGCCGTTATTCATATTTGTTTCACAATGATATATGTTTTTGATTGATAGGCTAACTTTTAATCATTTTCTCGGAAATTTGGGTTGCGAACCGAAACCAAGTTTTACAATGTTCAGACAGACAGCTAATTCAGCAAATTTTAGTTGCGTAGTTAGTCACATTTTCATATATTAGTAAAATATATCAGCTGGTTGTTTCCATTTTACAAACAGGTTTGTTCCAGTACTTATAATCAGGGCTGCAAACCGGTTTTAAAGCGAACCGGCGCCTTTTTCGTTTTTCGAACCGAACCATGAACCGAACCGTTTTTATTTTGAAATACCAAAACCGAACCAAAAACCAACCCCAAAAATATGGTTTAGTGCGGTTAAAAATGAAAATTCACTTAAGTGTTTTATGGTAAAACTGCTATCTTTTTTTATTTATGGTAACACTGTACGAGGGCCTATGCCTAAGCCAAGATCTTTCGTGTCAATTCAAATGAGTATGCAGTTTTTGCCTTTCGACTATATAGACTTACGACTAGTCCAAACCTTAAAAAAGTGTATTAATTTTTTTTTTTTAACTTCGACTTAGAGCTCAACCAGCCACCGACGCACCCATATAAGCTCCGGCCAAAAGTAGTAACCGTACGTGCGCTGTTCGGCACTTGGGAATGAAGAAATCTGGAAAATGGTAAAATTCAACGCGCTACTACGCCCACAGTTCTTGTGGGCGGAAATAATAAATGTTATCCGATTTTCAAGAAATTCAGAGCATATGCTGGTTTTAACGAGAAAAGAATAAATCTGAAAGATTGTCAAAATCGGTTTACATTATAGTCCAGTAATTCTAGATAAACAGGCCCAAATTAAAGAACATATATATATTCTTTGATGAAATTCGGTGTGCCCTGCTCGTTTAAGCCAGCATTTTCCAACTTTGAAGATAATAAAAAATTTTTATGAAAGCCCCACCTTTTAAACAACTTTTTGTTGCTCCAAGTACTAAATTTTATGAATTTTGGAAAAAATTAACAGGCACATTTATTTTAAGGTTACACGTTCACGCGTCGTATACCTGGAACCATTTTAAGGTAAACTTAGAGGGATTAATATCTTTCGTATGCCTAGCGCGCAGACGAGATTTTATAATTTCATAGTTTTAAACGGCCTAAATACCTTAACTCGCTTAAAAAATAACGAGCTATACCGAAATAGGCACAGAAATAAAATCTAACATCATTAAATTATTTTTCATATTTGTATAAAAGCGCGGGGTGAAACCCGCGGGTATAAGCTAGTATACATATATATTGTATGTTCCTTACGCTTTTATATATACATACTGCAAAAGTATTGGGGCTGATAACTTATCTGTTAACGACTTAACTATAGTTTAAAATAGATAAGTTCACAGTCCTTAATATACTAAATTTATTAAATGACCCAGCAAGTCGATTGACCGTGTATGTTCTTGTGGTGTGATTGTACCAGCATGCTGGTGCCGTGAGTGGTGAAATTAGCTCAATTTTCTAAGTAAAAAGTATTTTGGCGGAAATTTCTTGCACTATATGAGTCAAAGCCGTGTTTGTGGAAGATTACGTTCACGATATTCCACTTGTGAATTTAAAAAAAAAAAAACAATGTTTAACAAAATGCTAGAAAAATTATGAAAATTCAGCTCTAATCATTTCGATCTTTCCTCGACCTCATTTGTAAAGAAATAAATATTGTACCAGCATGCTGACTTGATGGAACCAGCAAGCTGGTGTCGTGTATTTCCCCTTTTATACAAAAAGGTTTTTGGTTGGATAAAATAATAGCTTTTTTTCCAGAGTTTATTGTTTTTATATACCATTACTTATTGACAATATTTACGTGTATACTTATATATGTATATGTAAGTAAAAAAATTTAGCTACCATTTTTAGCCACAGCGACTTTTTTTAGCTCTTTTTTAGCCCTTTTTTTAAAGGAATTTGGCTACCACTAAAATTTATGCGCGGCAACACTGACTGTGAGTCGTAAAGAAAATTCTCATAACAATCAGTTGAATGGGAGATATATGTTATAGTGACCTGATCTTTGTTACTGTAATGATTCTGTTAATAATGAGTGAAAACGGTGAGAATTTCCATGCTCCTAGCTGCATAAATGGAGAAGTTATGGCAAAAAATCTCATATCTGAACAATCAGTCGTATGGAGACTATAGGTTATAGCGACCCGATCCTCGCCATTTTCACTGAAAGTATTCTTTTGATAATGAGTGACAACATTTCAAAATTTCATGTCCCTAGCTACTTAAATGGAGGAGTTATAACGAAAAATCTTAAATCTGAACAATCAGTAGTACGGGAGCTATAGGTTATAGTGACCCGATCTTTGTAATTTTCACCCTAAGTTCTCTGTTGATAATGGGTGGAATTATTGCAAAATTTCATGTTCTTAGCTGCATAAATGGAGAAGTTATAACGAAAAATCTCATATCTGAACAATCAGTTGTATGGGAGCTATATGTTATAGCGGTCCGATTCTTCCGGTTCCGACAAATGATTAATACATTATAAAAATACACTCACCTACCAAATTTCATCCTTATATCTCGAAAACTGAGAGACTAGATTGCATACAAACAGACAGACGGACAGACGGACATGGCTAAATCGACTCAGCTCGACGTTTTGATCATTTAAGTATACATTTTAGTGGGTCTATCTCTTCTTATTCTGGTACTTACAAACATCGAACCAAAGTTATAATACCATTTCATGCTCATGAAAGGTATAATTACGCAAATGACCAAATATCTGATTTGCCACTTGATGACAAATGCCAGTGACAAATATACAAATATTGTTGAGCGGTATTGCCATTTCGTGCTTGTGAACCTTTGTATTTTCCAATTTTGGTTAAATTTTAATATTTAATATAATATTCGTATCCGAAAACTACTGAAAAATATTACGTTATTTGAAAACAAAAATTTTTAAATATTTGTTAAAACTGAACATTTGAAAACATGTACATATACGTATTCGACAGTAGCTGAGTGTGCAGAGAAGAGTGCGACTATTTGTAACCTTCATGAGGTTCCAGGTTCTTATGCCGGCAGACGAACATATTGAAAGTATAATTAATTTCTGAGTATAATTAACTATGAAAAAGCATATTTGAAGTTCAGAATGAAAAATTTCAGAAAACCAACCGGAAAAGTATTCGTTTCACAACCCTTCGTGGCACTTTACTATTCACCTTTCTTTCCGTTTTCAGATCTCTTTCCGCAGTTTTTGCTGGCTATACACATATACATACATGCATATCGTCGTATAAAGTACAAAACCGCGTATCGTCATTCTGCAAAATCGCGTAACTGATATTTGCTGCCAAACATTGAATTTGCTTCCAGAAGCTGTTGGCTCAATCCTTATCCATTCGTCCTGAAATATACTATCCAGAAATGCGATTGCTTTATAAAAAAGAGAACCATTTTGAAATATGAGTGTTTTTACTATCTAGATAATAATTTATGCAACCTCACATAGGCGGCTTTGCATTTTGTTGGTACGCGGTTTTGTACTTTAAACGACGATATACAGATTATTAAAGACGATCTAAATTAAACTGTGTGACAAAAAAAAACGTATATAGTTTTTTCGAGGTTCACACTTATTGTAGGTATATTCAAGCAGTAAAATCTGCATACTCAGAATTTTAAATACACCCTCAAAATCTGGGCTTAAGGTCAAAAACCGCGTTTTTCAAAGGGTGACGCACAGGTATACTTGCACGTAACTTTATTTCTGTTTACCCGGTGAAAAATACGTATTTATGTATGTGATTCAAGATAAGACATTTCGCTGCTTACAACAATGTTTAAATTGATAATTTATCTTAAGAAATGGCAAAGGAATCAGTGATCGGACTTAAAAAAAATTTGTGTGGTAGAATCTAAAAAAAATGTGGTAGATTTCAAAAAAATGTGGTAGATCTCAGGTTTTGGATCAAACTTTGTACAAAAATTAAAAAAAATCTGCAAGATTTCTCCTTAATTGCAAACATTTTAATTAGAATTTAAAATAAAATTAATTTTAGTATAATAAAGTGCAAGATTGAAGTTGATAAAAATTGCGTAGGTTTTGGCAATTTTTTTCCTTTACAGTTTCGAACATATTTTGAAAGATTTCTGCAACCTTGCAGAGCGCTGCCAGCTTTTCTTTTTATCACATCACGATGTAGCGAACAAATGTGGCTCGTTCCAAAAATGCTGCTTGGGATTTGCCGATTTTGACAATTCTCAAGTAAAAGTAAACAACGGTTTAGAAATTTGAGATGCACCGAAATTTGCTAATCCTTTTACAAAAATCGCCGGTTTTTATCATTTTCGCTATTAATTCTTTTTATAAATCATATATTTTGCAATTTAACACAATAAAACCATGTTTGATGTCGAAAAATTGAATATTGAGAAAATTTACTATTTTACAGTTTATTTTATCCTCCCATTCTGCCTGTTGTTAGTGTTTAGTGTTGGACAATTTTTGCTCTTAAAATTAAGAAAATTATGTTGAGCAAAAATAAAACTACTCAAAAACGCGAATATGTGGTAGATTTCAGACCTTGTGTGGTAGGTGTGCTCAAAAAAGAGGCAGATCTACAACAATGTCCGATTTCTTGCTCCGATCACTGAAAGGAATCTTACAGAGTTTATCGATGGCTGAGTGGAAGATCGACCTATCTCGGCAACCAGTTCGAAAACGCCCTATCTCAGAAAAATTTTTAACAACGCGCTATCTCAGAAAACGTTTCAAGAACGCATTGAAAAACGCCCTATCTCATCTGCAGTTTCAGAAACGCCCTATATCAGCTTATTTTCAATGTATTTTCGTTTGAGATAGGGCGTTTTTGAAATGAATTCTGAGATAGGGCGTTATTCAACCAAATTCTGAAATAGGGCGTTTTCAATCAAACTTTGAAGTAGGGCGTTCTTGAAAAATTTTATGAGACAGGGCGTTTTTGAACTGGCTTCCGAGATAGGTCAATCTTCCATTCAGCCATCGATATGCAAAATTTAAATTTTTAACTTTTTTTCATTTTAAATTACGACTTGTCCGACTATTTTGTTAACTAGTATACATACATAGGGTGCCCATTCTCAAGACAAATTAACCATTTATAAATGGTTGTAAACAACGAAATGTTTTCTCTTAAATGGCATATGTAAGTATTTTTCATCGGGCAAACTTTCAAGTTTACCTACATTTTATGCCACAAAAGCTGAGCTAAGGCCAGCAGGACTCTTTCCATCGAAAACGGATCTCGTCCAGAGAAG